GTGTGGCAGCAGTGGTGAGGTTGGCCCAGGATCGGACATTGTTTCTTCTGCTGTGCATGGGGTCGCTATGAGTTGGTTCCGACTCGATGGCCCCTGACAACAACAGTATTAATTTATGAATCAATAGTCAATTTTTAAAATGTACCTAAATAATATATATATTTTAAATACTGTGGAGTCAGTTCCTACTCATAGTGACCCGGCACAGCGTTTCCGAGGCTGCAAATCTTAGGGGAGCAGAAAGCCCCATCCTTCTCTTACGGAACAGCTGGTAGTTTCAAACTGCAGGCATTGAGGTTAGCAGCCCCATTTGTAACCACTATAGTGGTGGTAATGTTGGTGGTGATTTGCTATGGAGTTAGTTCAGACTCATAGCGACCCTGTACAGTGTTTCTAAGGCTGTAAATATTTACGGGAGCAGGGATTCTCGTCTTTCTTCTATGGAACAGCATGTAGTTTCAAACTGATGACTGAGGTTTGCAGCTCAATTCGTAACCACTACACTCCTAGAGCTCCTTCATCCTATGGTATTATCCTGAAAATAATCTTTCTTTCTTTCTTTCTTTCTTTCTTTCTTTCTTTCTTTCTTTCTTTCTTTCTTTCTTTCTTTCTTTCTTTCTTTCTTTCTTTCTTTCTTTCTTGTTTATCTTGTGAATTGAGTGATAGCTTACATGGGAGGTCATCAGCTTTACATTCATGGTATGTATTTCGTTTCATTACAATGACAGCAATCCTCTCTATGCATAATTATTCAACAGCATTTGCTTCCATTCCCTTTGTTTGTTTTGATGTACACCCAAGCACTCAGGAATATATAACCATTCAAACAATCAAAGGGCATACCCTACAAGCCTACCTCTCCCCACCCTACACCCTCACCCTCTCTGGCTATCAGCACACAGCCCCTTTCCTTCCTTGAGTCCTAGAGTCCCCAGCTAGAGTCATTGGGTTTAAATGGTTTCTGAGAAGTACATACATCAGTTTCACACATTTAAAAAGGTATGTAATATTACTGAAGAAGGATTATTCTAGGTGTCATTTTTTTATTAATATCATCCTAGTAAAACTCTTGTTCCACTCTCAATATTATACAATTGAGAATTCCCATATTGTATGTGCATTGAGCATAGTTGTTTGAGGTGGAGAGCTAATGCATGACTGAATTTACTATTGATTGCCAACATTTGTTTACAAACAGAAAATTAGAACTACAATATCAAGGTGTGGACTCACAAATATCATGATAGAGGCACATTGAAATTAGCATCTTGTAAAGGAAATACTAGAGTCCTGGTGTGGTGATGTTGGATAAACAGAAAATGTCTTACTGTTGAAGTCAGCAGTTCAAATCTACCAGTTGCTCCTAGGGAGCCCTATATAGGCTTGTTATGACTCAAATCCAACTTGATGATACTTAAAAACAACAACATATGAAATACTATCTCCATTTCTCAAATTTCCTTAGGATTCAGAAAAATACATTACTTTCATAGAAAACTGTACAATCCACAGGATTCATGCTATTAAATTCCCTTTAAGCCTTTGGCCCAGTTTTTTAATTCAGAGATGAACGCAGCCAACTGAATCAATGGTTCAGTGTCCATTTGTTCATCTGAAAAGAAACGTAATTATTCAGTTCTGGTTGTGGATACAAAATGCTAGAATAGGTATCAGAATGAAAAGTCCAAATCCCATATATTTTACACATTAAATTTGGGGTGTATGTATAACTCTTAATTTCTTCTACCTAGAAACTGAATAATATTCACCACCAGGATGCATGAGGCATCTAACAGTGGATTGGTATTCAAATACCTGTATGGTGATGATTGTTGTGTGCTGTGGAGTCAGTTAAGACTCTTAGCGACACTGTACAGGATTTCCAAGGCTGTAAATATTTATGGGAGCATTATTTTTAAATTAAAATTTGAATCAATCTGAGAGGAGTCAGTTTACTGTTGAAAAACAGCAAAATTTGCTTTTTCCAATTTTTCTGCTTTTCCTTTTTGGTTTTCATTTTTATGAAAATCTCCAAAATATTTCTGAAAACAAGTGAGAATTGTACACTCCGTTAAATAAGTCCCATAGAAGGTTCTTGTTAGAGACAGATTCATGTCCTATTTTATTTGTCTTGAGACCTATGGGACATTCTTGAAAGGTTCAAAGCTCAAGCAGGAGAGCATTCTCCTGTGGAAGCCATAGAATCTACATGGATACAGGGAATCAAGGAGGGGTCTATTCAATACAGACCCTATTTAACACTGGCTTGTTGTTGTCATTGCGATTGCAGTCTACTCTGTGTTATATATGGATGAATCTAGAGAATAAAAAATAAGTCAGACTCAGTTGTTTCCTTTTGAACATTCAAGATCAATTTATATAGGGATGAAGAACAAAAATAATACAGAAAAAGAAAACTTTTAAACTTTAGGACAATTTAGTTGAATGATTTAAAATTTTTAGAAATTTATATGAATAATGATAATAATTTGGAAAATTAATATGCCTTGAATTTTAACATTCACTGCATATTTAATTATGTATATAGTATCAATTTTCTTTCCTTATATAGTCATGCCAATCTGTTGCTATCAGCTGTGAATTAACTCACATGGCAATGTAGGGTTTGAGGGAAACTAAAAATTGCCCCATGGCATACAAATAATATGTTGAGCATTCAGGATTCACACTTAAATTTTTGATCACTCAGGACCATGCACTAACAATCTTCACTCTGCTTCCTCATGCTTCAAAAAATTTAAAGCAAAAGTTAAAGGAATTGAATGAAAGATATATCTAAGTTACATGTTTAATCACATTCCATCTTCCTGACAAGGAATAAAATCCACTATCCTGACTTTATTTCTCCCTGAGAGACTGAGATGGGCTTAATTATAAGGATGAAGAGAGAAATGGACAGCTGAGGAAAATCCAGGAGAAAGGAACATGAATAATATCTTTCCTGAATTATCATTTGCCAACTACTGATGTGATTCCCTCATGTTTTTTCAGATATACTTATGATAGTTGAGGCACGAAAAAAATGTTGACTGCTGTTCACATGGCCTAACAGAAAGCCCACAAAAAAGTGAACAGTCACTGGAGAAATCAGGGAAGTGAAATGGCAGGATGGGTGGGCAGAGGAGACTCTGACCAGCCCCATGTCTGTTGTCACCCTGCCTGCATTCAGACCAGGCTTCAGCTTTTTCTCCCCATGACCTGCTACAGCTTGTGAAAAGACAGTGTGCTCCTTTGCTCCTCTGTGAAATGACAATAACATGTGATGCTCATTTCTATGTATGGATGAGCAGAAAAAGGAAACATTACATAGAAAACTTAGCTCAGGTTCTGCCACTGGGAAACCTTAAGTTTATTGTGTAAGTAAACCATGATACTCTACTTATTTGTCACCACCCTCCCCCTCCTCAACTAGAAGATCATTTTGTTGTGTTAAAAGGACAGATGATAGGGACACATTTCATTCTTGTGGGGAAGTGCCTATAGAAGCTAGAAGCAATGTAGAAGAAATTAAACCTCTAAGTGACTTTTCTTGGACTTCTGAATTCACAGACCTATGGGGTGAAACTCAGCACCAAAGTCTGCCGTCTATGCAGCATAGCCCCTCTGCCCAGAGTCTCCCATGACTCACTGGGTTTCTCTGCATCTCTGAGGGTGCACATCACTAAGGAGTGTGGTCCACCATACCTTTCCTGTCTTGTAGGTGATGAGACCTGAGGCTTCTTCATCAGGACAAGAGGGAAGACATATTCAGGCATGGGCATCCTGAGGCAGACAACCACCATAGAGGCTAGATTTAGGTGTTGAGCTCAGTAGTCTAGGACAGATAGACTGAATCAGTGGAGGGAACAGGCTAGGTATTTACAGTTGTATGGCCTTGAGGGCCAAATGCCCAGAGCTCACAATTAACCACGCTAGTTCATATTATTCCCCTCTCTGTAGACTTGTTAATATTAATAAATGAGGAAGAAAAGAAAGTGAATGTCCTTGATATCTGGGACCTCACATTCTAAGGAGTCCTGCTCTGGTGGTGTGGGTTAATACATTGGGCTACAAGGTTTGGTTGAACCACAAGGTTGGTGGTTCAAGATCACCAACAGCTCCCTGGAAACATTATATAGGGTCGATATGTTGTTGTTATTGTTAAGTACCGTGGAGTCGGTTACGACTCATAGTGACCCTGTATAGGGTTTCCGAGGCTGTAATCTTTACGGGAGCAGAACACCTCATCTTTCTCCCAAGGAACCACTGGTAGTTTCAAACTGCCAACCTTGAGGTTAGCAGCCCAATTCATAACCACTACGCTACCAGGGTCGATATGAGTTGGAATCAATTCGAAGACAGTTAGCATCACAACAAATTCTATGGCAGAATCTCATCTGTTTTCCTTATTTTTCACTTTTAACTTCAAGTTATAGGGATCTCATCTTAAAAATCAGAATCACTTCCCCCAATTTTTTAAATTTCAAACATCAGAGTATGAATTCATATCCTCAGACTGGTTGAATGCCCCATGAAATTTAGGGATGACTAAGCGTTCTATAATAAAATGTTCTGATGGTGTTGAGACATTGGAGAACTATTCACAATGTCTGTATTTCAAACCCAAGTGATTCTTCAACGTTGAAAACCAAGACTGTCTGCTCCCATAAACATTTAACAATCTCAGAAACCCAATAACCCTATATAGAATTGCTATGAATCAGAATTGACTCAATGGGAGTGGGTGTGGATTAATTTGATTTGAAAGTGTTCTTTTTTTTTTTTTCAAGTGTTTATTGTGTACAAAGGATAATATCCATACTCCTACAGGGAAGCCCAGTTAATACTACTATTATTCAACTTTATGCACCAACCTCTAAAGCCAGTGAGGATGAACTAGAAGAAGTCTACCAACTTCTTCAATCTAAAATTGATCAAACATGCAAGCAAGATGTATTGCTCATTACTGGTAATTGGAATGTAAAGGTTGGGAGCTAAGAGGAAGGGTCAGTAGTTGGACAATATGGCCTTGGTGAAGAAATTTGGAGCACAACTATCTGGACACCTGATTGGAAGAGATCCATATTTGTGCCCATTCTAAAGAGAGGTGACTCAATGGAATTCAGAAATCATCAGGCAATCTCTTTGATATCCCATGTGAGTTAAGTTTTGATGAAGGTAACACAGAAATGGCTACAATTATACATTGATAGAGAACTTCCAGAAGTTCAATCCGGATTCAGAAGAGGCCATGGAATGAGGGATATCATTGCTGATGTCCGATGGATCTTGGATGAAAGCAGAAAATATCAGAATGATGCTTACCTGTGCTTTATTGACTATGCAATGGATTTCGATTGTGAGGATCATGACAAGCTATGAACAACATTGCCAAGTATGAGTATTCCAGAACACTTAATTGTGCTCTTGAGAATCTGTACCTGGACAAGAGTCAGTTGTTTGAACAGAACATGGGAACACTGAACATTTTAAAATTAAGAATGGAGTGTGACAAAGTTGTATTTTTTCACCATACTTATTCAACCTTTATGCTGTGCCAATAATCTGAGAAGCTGGGTTCTATGACGGAAATCATGGCATCAGGATTGGAGGAAGACTTATTAACAAACTGAGACATGCAGATGATACAACCTTGTTTGCTGAAAGTGAAGAGGACTTAAACAATTACTGATGAATATCAAAGAGAACAGCCTTTGATATGGATTACATCTGTATGTAAAAAATACAAAAGTCCTCACCTCTGGACCAATAAACAACAATCTTAGCAATGGAGAAAAGATTGATGATGTCAACAATTTCATTCTCCTTGGATTAACTATCAACATTCATGGAAGCAGCAGTCAAGAAATCAGATGACATATTTTATTAGGCAAATCTGCTGCACAAGACCTTTTAAAACTGTTGAAGAGCAAACCTGTCATCTTGAGGACTAACATGCCCCTGACCCAAGCCATGGTATTTTCAAAAACCTCATATATATGCAAAAACTGAGCAGTGAATAAGGAAGACTGTAGAAGAATTGATATTTTTGAGTTATGGTGTTGGAGGAGAATATTGAAGGTGCCATTGGCTTCCAAAAGAACCAATATATCCATTTTGGAAGGAGTGTAGCCAGAGTCCTCCTTAGAGATCAAGATGGTCAAACTTTGTCTCTCATACTTTGGACATATTGTAAGCAGGGACCAGATACTGCAGAAGGATGTCATGTTTGGTAAGTTGAGGGTCAGAGAAAAAGAGGAAGACACACAATGAGATGGTTTGGCCAAGTGGCAGCATCGATGTATTCAAGCGTAGCAACAGCAGTGAGGTTGGCCCAGGATTGGGCAATGTTTCGTTCACTGTGCATAAGGTCGCTATGGGTTGGTACTGTCTTGATGGTAACTAACAACAACAACAACAATTGTGAACTGAATGAAAGTTTACAGGGCAGATTATCAGTTTTACATTCAACAAATCACATACTTTTTGTTTCATTACAATGGTTATAATCCCATCCATGTACTATTAGTTAACAGTATTTCCCTCTATTCATTTCTATTCATTTTAGCTTTATTTATAAAAACAAAACCAAAAACCAAAAACCAAAACCACTCTGGCATATATAAAAATTTAAACCACCAGACTACATATTCTGCAATTCTGCCTCCCAGCTGCAAGCTTTCAGTCTCTCTCTTTACATCCAGAGTCCTCAGCTTGTCCCTCTATTATGTCAGCATCTTTGCCTCCATCTCTGGTGTGGTGCTTCTCTGGATAAAGTCCCGCATTCTATAAAGCATTCTTTAGGAGCCTTAATGGTTCAGTAGTTATGCACTTGGCTCCTAACTGTAGCATATTCTATATGAATCCTTGGTGGTACAATGTCTAAATGTTTGGCAGTTAATGAAAAGTTTGGTTGGAACACTATCTATCATGCTGCAGGAGAAATACCTAGAGTTTGCTCCCATAAACAGAATAGCCTAGAAAATCATATAGATCAGTTTTTCTCTGCCACAAGCTGTCAATGAATCAAAATAACTTGACAGCACACAACAACAGTATCAAAACAGGTCTTTACATCAACAATCTGATGTTTGTTGTTGTTAGGTGCCTTTGAGTTGGTTCCAACTCTTAGTGACATTATGCACAAAAGAATGAAATAGCAACCATACTCACAGTTGTTTGTTTTAGACTATTGATGTAACCACTGTGTCAGTCTTTCTGGTTGGGAATCTTCTTCTTTATTGTTGACCATCCACTTTAATAAACATGCTTTCCTTGTCAAGGAACGGATCCCTACTGACAACATATCCAGAGTATGAAAGATGAATTCTCATAGTCCTCTGTTCTAAAAACACTAAAGACCGAGACCAGAAGAGTTGTAGGACGACATCAAGAACATCATACATGAACAAAGCAAAAAGTCATTAAGAAGACAGGAAAGAAAGAAAAGGTCAAAATGGATGTCAGAAGAGACACTGAAACTTGCTCTCCAGCATAGAGATGCTAAAGCAAATGGAAAAAATGAGGAGGTACAAGAGCTGAACAGAAAATTTCAAAGATCAGCTAAGGAGATAACTCCAAATATTATAACAAAATGAGCAAAGATCTGGAAT